TTTCCAGATTTCAAGTGAAAAAATAACATTTTAACAATCCAGTCTGAAACAAAGAAGGATCCAGAACTCAGCGAAATAATTGAAAGGCTGAAGATTCAGACGACTCTGACGACTCTGAAGATTCAGAATTTACATTGTTTGATGGCATACTTTTTTGAAGAGAAAGAGTAGTTATTCCAAAAAGCCTACGTTCAAACATACTAAAGGAACTTCACGAAACTCATCTAGGAATAACTAAAATGAAGCAACTGGCAAGACAGTATGTTTATTGGCCTGCCATTGATCGTGACATTGAGAATTTAGTCAAAGGATGTGAAGGCTGCGCATTGACAAAGTCTAATCCTCCAAAGGTATCTGTCCATCCGTGGGAATCTCCAGCAGATAACTGGGACAGAATTCATATAGATTATGCAGGTCCATTTGAAAATTACTATTTTTTGGTGTGTGTTGATGCTAACTCCAAATGGGCGGAAGTCGAAGTCATTAAAGATGCCCCAACGAGTTCAAAAACTATCCTTTTGATAGAAATTTTTTTTTCTTTTCATGGCTATCCACAGGTTATTGTATCTGATAATGCTTCAATATTACAAAGTGAAGAATTCCATTCTTATTGTTCTAATTGAGGAATATTTCAAAAATTCATCGCTCCAGGACATCCTGCCACCAATGGCCTTGCACAGCGAAACGTCCAAACCTTAAAGCAAAAGTTAAAAGCTTCTTTTCTTGAAAAATCCTCAATCCCAAGTAAAGTTCAAAACATATTATTCCGTTATAGAGCAACACCTCTAGCTTGTGGACAGTCACCTGCTCAATTATACTTACATAGAAAAATCCGCATACGTTTAAACTCAATCTTTCCTTATCATCCAACACCATCAACAGTTTCCAGTACTCCTGTAAGATCTTTTTCAGTGGGGGAGAGAGTCCAGCTGAGGTTGTTCATAAATAACCATAACGTATGGCAGTTTGGCAAAGTCGTGAAAAAGTATGGTACACGTCATTATTTGATTTTACTAGACTCAGGTCGGCAATTAAAGAGACACATAAACCAATTAAGATCAGCATTAATTCCAGAGAAAAAAAAGTGTGTGACTTTTGGCCCAACCCAGTCTTTTGACATTCCTAAACCATCTAAGATCTCCTCACCTACTCAGCCTAGTATTCCAGAACTTCCAACAAATTCCGAACAGGACGTTGTGACAAAACCAAAAAGAAAGAGACAATTACCTACACGCTTTAGGGACTTCGTAATGTCATAAGCATATTTCAAATCTGTTTCAAGTATTTTCAATTAAGTGTATTTTTCAATTATATATTTAACATGTTCAATTTTTAAGTAGCTAATGTTTTCAATTAACTGTTATTTCAATTCTAATTAAGTGGGGGAGACTGTTGAGATCTTCCATGTAATTCCACTGGCGCTAGTATCGCGGTTGTGATGTAACTGCAACTGTGTTTACATTGTATGTTTCAGTTTCGATTTCCTGTATGTTCTTTTTGTTGATGTGTTCCATGTACGTATTGTGAATAAAGTTATTGTTATGTTATAAGTTATCAATATTAGTGCTATCATTGTCAATCATCCTAAATACATATCCCATGTCATATAATAAACGGTCACAACAGATATACATAAGGAAACAAAAATAATCATAAGAGCAGTATTTGGTGGTAAATGTAGCTTATCGTAATTGAAGAATATGCTGTGCGACACTTAATGGTGAACTTGCGAACGTAAGTTTCAGAATGTATCGAAACATGAGGATGCTATTTTCTAATCATCTTTATCCAAAGAAAATCATGTAACCTAAATATCTAGCAGAATGAAGCGATATTTTAAACAATTAATCATACAATATGCAACATATTACTTCAATATCTTATTCTTAAACATGACACACTTCAATGTTTTTAAAATGCCACTAAACATTCAGCAATTCCTTGAGTTAACGAAAAAAGAAATATCGTAGATTATAGAAAACTCTGTGAATGTGCATTAGAATTACTATACAATCTACATTTCATTTTTCAAGCATTTTTTTCCCTTCAAACTTTTTTGCCTAGAAGACTCGATTAAAGCTGACACATGGCGAGTAGCTATTTTCAGATCTCTTTTGAGTGAACTGCTCTTCTGAACTGCTGTTTTACAAATGTTATTTCATACGGTCACAAAGAACAGATGAAAGACAGGTATTCGCTTATGGTATAGTAAGGTAATGTATTCGTAACAAATTATTTAAATAATTTATTTATTTAGTTTTTGTCTGTGATAAGTTATCGAAACTACTAGCGGTTAAAAAAAGAGACACACGTGAAAGCGAATTAGTTGTAAAGAAATTCCATATTTTTTTGAAAAAAATAACGGAAATTCGAAAGAAGCGCTTAAGAAAAATTCCAAAAATGACGAAAATGGAAGAATAAAAAACATTTAAAAAAATAAATATAGAGAACCCCTTCGTTAAAGGGAGAAGATTTTGAATGTTATTTAATATTTCGATTGAAATTTACGTATAAGAAAAAGTTAGCTATAAGGAATGTGGCAGATTATACATAAATGTAGTTAGTGAACAATTTATAAAGCAAATTATACAATGAGTGGCCAAATTATTATGACCACCCCTTCAGTACGCTGTTGGGCCACCTTTTTCGAGTATTACTGCCTTAATTCATCTGGGCATGGGTTCTATGAGATGTTGGTAGGTGGTAGAAGGTATGCCAGACCATGCTCGCTGAACTGCACTTGCCAATTACTGCAAGTTTGATTGTACTGGATCCATCTGTCTGAGCGCCCGTTCAATTTCATCCCACTAATTCTCAATAGGATTGAGATCTGGGGATTGTGCTGGCCAACGAAGCAAGTTAAATTCTCCGTCATGATCTTCGAACCATCTGAGGACAATGCCAGCTTTATGACAAGGAGCATTGTCCTGCTGGAAGTATCCATCCCCGCCAACTCACTTGTCCAGCATTCCCGTGTTATACATAGTTATCTTGCCCTCTAGCGGCAGCGCTGTGACGAAATAACTCATTTGCATAAAACTCTGAGATGGTCATAATAATTTGGCCACTCAGTGTATACTATTTCTATCATAATTTCCAACAATATTACTGCAACATACTGAATTTTTTTTTTTTTTTTTTTTAGATTTTTGACTATAGTGAATCATTGTTTACAACGTACTTACTGTTGGATTATAGCTATTGGATATTGTGAGCGGTTACAAAAATAAGCATACGTGAGAGCTAATTGGCTGCAGAGAAATTCCAAATTTTCTTTACAAATAACAGAAATTAAAATGAAACGCTTAAAAAAATTCCAAAAATTTCGAAAATTTAAAAAAAAAGAAGAAAAAAAAAGAAAGCATTAAAAAATATCGAATAGCGAGAACCACTTCGTTATACGGAAAAGATTTGGAATGTTATTTGACATTTCGATTATAATTTCCGAATTGGAAGAAATTTTCTGTAAGGAAACTTCATTGTGTGCAGATTCTACCTATAGTTAGTGAACAACTTATAAAGCAAATTATATACTAATTCAATCACTTTTTCCAACAATATTACTACAGCATGCTAAAATAAATAAGTAAATAAAAACAATTTTTAAAAAAATTAGGATTTTGGCTACAGTGAACCATTGTTCATAATGCACTTATTGTTGGATTCAATATTTTTTTCATGTATTTATAAGTATGCTACTTCGAAACAGAAGATTTCTGTAACAGATACAAAGTATCTGTTCCCAAAAAATATTAGCCATCTCTTAGAGAGATAAAAATCTAAATTTTTGTCTTTGATTGACGTTTTATTGCGTGACCCATTTTACTGATTTTGCTGAAAGTCGCCACTATGTCACATAGTATGTTTTGGGGGAGGGTGGTGGGTGAAAGCGCAGTTGCAGTTAGTTAATTTTTATCCCCAAGTAGAATCTTTTTCTCTCATGAATAAGGCGTCTGCTTGATGAAGGCATCAATTCGAGAGTATATATTGGAAGTTTTGACACTTTTGACAATAACAGTGCCGAGCAGCTCTTCTTTTCCATCGAACAACTGTTGAAACAGATATTACACCATAATTACTTTGGCGTTGTACAAATTTTGTTTCCTTTTCTTTTCTTTTTAACCTGTCGTACTTGTCAAGAATTATTATTCGAGTTCGAATGTTTAGATAGGACTCCAACTATCCGGATTAATTGAACCATACCAGATTCGAATAATTGGTTCGATTCGTTAATTTAATGACAACACTATATTTTCAACATCATATCTAAAAAAAAAATTTTAAAAAACCTCATAGTCTTGAAAGCAACGTTTTTGGGCACAAAATCTCCCTATTCGTGTATGTTGTTAACATTCACGCATAAATAACATTGTTGCAAAAATATTCGTTAAGTAGCATAGTCTTTACGAACAAAGTATTTTCAAGATTGCGATGTTAAATTTCGTGTATGCTAATATTTTTACATTTATAATATTTTACCTGAATGTTGTTAGCAATGTTACAATCTCGCCTTTCGATTCAACTGATAAATTCCTACAAACTAAATCTAAATGTTAGATGCCAGTGAATAAAATTTTTAAATTTAAATTCGTTGCCATAAATTATCCGTTTTTAAAGTTTAGAGTGAGATTGTTACGGATAATTAGAAGTCGGATAGCTGGAAGTCGGAAATTACATTGTTATAAGCAAGTGTCACGGAAAATCGGCTCACTAAATCATCAAGTGTCACGAAGTCAAACCACTATTAAAATTNTGCATATGTTGCATTAATTTTTTCAGTAACTGTAAAGTAGTTATAAACACTAAATATATATATTCGAAAATAAATGACCTTTTAGTTGATTTTCTGCATGAATAGAAACTAGTAAAAGTTCACGGGGAGTGAAAGAGTCCATGGCAAACATTTGCTATATTCACCATATAAAGTTTAGATATTCACCATGTATAATCACCACGTAAAAAAAGTTCGCTACAATAAAATTCCAAGTATCACTATATAAATATTCGGGAATAATGTATAAGTACGTATTCACTGATAAGATTTAATACACAAAAATAAGTCTCAGTTTAATAGTAAAAAAAAAGACCCGAAATCCACTCCTATGAAGACACTTTTTTTATTTGTTAATGTGTAAGTTCTTATCGCATAAAATGGCGACGATAAACAATTCCAGAAAAAGATTGAAACTTCAATTTTCAACAAGATGGCGACGAGCAATTCAGCAAGAAATACGTTTTTGACCAACCGAGAGGTTGGGACCTCTCTAACCGAGTGCTATCACCGGCCAAACGCTCTGTTAAGCGAGAGGTGGCGGGTTCGAATCCCACCGTAACCCTTTTCTGTATTGTGCTATCTGTCCTTCTACTTGGCAAAAGTTTATGAGCCTTAATTGTGCACACAAACCAGCAAGTGTATGTTGTACCAGTAAATAAATAAATAAATAAAAACCGAAAGGTGGTGGCGGATCTTTGTAGTCGAGCGGTTTCGATATTCTCTCGATAGCGTGAAAGAAGTGGGCTCTCTGGATGCATCTTTCCTTTTCTTCCACACACAAGGGCTTACATGCAGTTCTTTCAATGAAGTTTATTACAAAGGTAAAACGTCAAAAATCTTGCTAGTAAATTTAAGAAATAATAGCAAGTTGTATTTTCATCAGGCCGAGAGCTTTCGTTGAAATTTAATCACCCTTACTAGTCGGACAGGGGTAGAAATTTCGATTCACGATATATTCGATTGAGTGATTAAATTCCGCTAAAAAGATTCAGACTTTTAGACTCATCTAGAACAGAATTTCAGTTCTGATCAGATTTCAGTGCTTTGAAATGCGTCTTGGTGATCAATTTCAATCCGTGATTCGGCTTGTAGCTGTCAGGAAATTTGTACTGAAATTCATAAACATGGTGTTTTGATTTGAATACAATGCATCTTATACCTACGAGTATAGTTTCTATGAATATTTTCTAAATTCAGTGCAATTATGTAATTTATTAGTTGTTATATACGGTAAACTCTAATACACATTATACTTTAATTTGAAGAAAAGATTTTATAACCGTCGTCGAACAGCCGACCCAATTTTTTGGGTTTATGTAGCAAACGCTCTATCCCCTGAGCCACCACGACATCGTCTTAATATAGTCTGTAGACATGCTATATTATGATTTCTTAGACATTTCAGTCGATATAATAAGTTCAGTTTTGATAATAAAGGATAATTTGATATCACTTGAGAAGTTTTCATTTCAACATTAATTGATA